CCGGTAGGAACTACCTACCTGCCAAGAGGGGCAGTGGAGAGGGTGGAGATGGAGAGAGAGAACTGGGAATGCAGACTGTGAGAGATGCTAAGATAGAGTTAACAGTAGGAGTGTGGAGCTGTAGATATTCACCCCAAAGTTGTGTGTTGGGGGATGAGTTTGAGTTGAGTTCAACATGTCTTAAGCAAAGCACACTGTGCTGAGTACCATGCTGTTTGGAAATCAGAGGATGTCGAAAGCTAGTGGGAGAGACAGGCCCATGGGCAATAATTGTGGTTTGGACAGAATCGGAGATGAGTGACCCCACCACAGCCTGGCGGATTATTAAAGAGAAAACGCTTTCTAAAACTAGAGATTTTTGAGATGGCGCTTAAAGGATGAGTAGAAAGGAGCCTAGAAAGTGGATATAGGGAGAAACAAGATGTGGACATTTTAAGTAAAGCTAAACACAGCGACAGCAAAACTCAGGAGGTAAGGAGTAGCTTTGGGGGAATTTAGGGGTGAGGCAGAAACTTATTGGAGGTGGGGTTGAAAGTGGGGTGGGGCTGGCCACAGAGGACTGCATGTCAGGTTAAGGGGTCCCTCAAAAACTATATTTCAGTGAAATGCCCTTTCAAGTGTGCACAGGTTAATTTCACTTAAGCCTAAATTTGTGTCCTTCAAATGGGTTTGTTCCTAATTTTTTGTATATTATTAGGATCCAGCTATATCAACAATTTATAATTTATTTTTAAACCATAGTGTATAAAATTATTTCCTTGAAACTAAGGGTGCATCTTGCCAGAAGCAGATTGACAACTATCATTAGGTGCTACTTCCACTCACGTTCAGAGGCACAACTGTCATTTATCAAAACCACAGCATGAATATGAAAGTTGAAAGAAAAATTAAGAAAAACCTATCATTTCTGTACTGTCCCTTGTAACTTGCTTCTGCACCGGTGACCCTGGGGCCAACCTTCCACCTGCCTCTCCATCACCCCCATAACCAAGCACCAAATCCTGGCTGTTCCTTCCCCTAAATATTACTCAAGCCTATCTCTCCACGGACACTGCCATTGGCCCTGTCTATGCCACCATCGTCTCGTCAGGATTTCTGCAGTAACCTCCTGTTTTCCCACCTCTCTCTTCTTGGCGTCTTCCAACTGACTCTCCACAAAGCAGACAGAACCATAACTTCTAAATGCAGATCCCACAATGTCTCCTCCTCCTTGCCGCCCTTCAGTGGCTCTTAGCATGACTATTGGAAGCTGACTCCACACACCAGGCTCAGCTCCATCTGGCTTCTGCCTTCTCTGGGCTCATTTCCTCCTTCCTTCCTACTCAAGCCATGCTGATCTTTCTAATTCCGAGCTTAAGTCCTATTCGCTTTCACATCTCAGCTCAACCTTATTTCAGAGAGGCCTTCCCTGACCCCCCAATTAGGGGCCCCTGACTGTTGGCACTTTTCACCATTGCAATTAATGATGAATTGTGTGACTTTGGGTCTAGTGCTTGTTGCTTATATAGCTGAGTTTCTGGAGTGAGGGCCACACCTGCCTTGTTTAACACTGTACTCAGGCTGTCCTTGTACCCAGGGCACAATGTAGGGCACAATGAGAGTAATAAATATGTTTGAATGTATGAATCTCCATATCCACGTGTGTTTCTCTGCTTCCTGTAGAGCCCTTACACACAAAAAAAAAAAGATAAAAAATTTTGTATTGGGAACACTTAAATACCAATTCACAGCCATCACTCAGTATAATTAACCACCATTCTGTACTATCCTGATTATAATTGGTAATTGAATATTTTAAAATATATTGTAGATGAGAGAGTTAAACAGAGCTAGCTAATAAGAGGTATCTTGATAGGTACCTACACTTTGGTAGGTCCAGCGTTTGGCTAGAAATGCAATTTATTCTTCAACCAGTGGTGTTCAGAGTCTGGGTGTTCAGAAGCTGAGGGGTGTGCAGATTTCCAGTGCTGCACATTAATTTACTTTTCAGAGGTGTCTTTCTCTGCTGCCCATTCTGTGTGGGAGGCTGGATTGTACTCCCAGGGTTGGGGTCATGGAATCAGGGTTAAGAGAACATGTGGTCCAAATGTGTGCATCAAACCATGCTAGCTCTAAATGAACCGTCTGTTACAGAACAGTCAGAAATTGGCATTTTACACAATATCTCATATATTAATTGTGCTTACCTATCCTCGGGTACTCTTTTGGTGTCTGTGTATTACTGAAATAATTTTGTTCACTTCCTAAATCACTTGCCTTTTTGTCTATTGAATTGGTTTCCCTGCAGTTCCCGAATCTCACTGAGGTTGCACAGGTTCCCCCACAGCTTCAGTTCTAATGGCCGGAGTTGGATGAAACAGAGGCAATGTAACATCACAGAGCAATCAAAGTTATGTTTAAACTAAGTGAAAGCCTCTCAAATGGGAAGTAAATAGATTTTTAAGTGGTTAAGGTAGAGCTAATTAAGTAAACTGTCACTAACTGAAAATAAGTCGACATTTTAAAGGAAGCAAGATAACTTAAACAGGAAACAAATTGCTTTTTAATAAAGTTTAAAAGTTGTGAAATCACTCCCAGGGAGTAAAAAAGCTCACCATTTCTGAACTAGTGGATGAAAATCATTCTTCTTTACCCAATGTGCTTTAGAACAACCAATTTTATTAAAGCTAGAGATAAAAAATGAAATGCAATAAAATAAAATTCATGAAAACAGTGCAAGACAAGCAAGTCGCACTTAACTGCGCAAAGCTAAATTAAGAAAGAAATTGTAATCTAAAAATCTGTCATAAATTCCAAAGCCTTCATGAACGGCTGCAAGACAGCTCTTTTGTATGTAAAAATTATCCCCAAGCTTCAATTCGTTCTCAAAAGGGGATTAATGAAAGTTTAGATATGCCCAAACATTATAAAACTGTGCGATGGGAAACTTTGAGACTTGAACTATTTATCCTTGACCTTGCATGCTGGTGCTCATTCTCCCCTTTATAATAGAGAATTGTGGGATCAAATTGTTGCAAGTCAAGTAAAAATACACTCTCCTGATTTTTCTGCTGTTGAAATTTCACCATACATAATTCTGAGGGAACACAGGCTCTTCTTTCTTCTAAGAAAGGAACATTTAGAACTCCTTTCAATGCTGCCTTTCAATGTTTGCGAAAGGTAAAAATACAGTTCATTTACTACTGCGATTTCTTTTTACAGATGTGCCTCCAAAATCTCTACATCCAATGTTTAAAAGCATTTTTTTAAAAAAACCTTTTTCTTCATTTTAATGGACAATTACCTGACCTTCTGGCTTTTTAAGTGCTTGTTTGTCAAACCACTTCACAAACATGTTAATATATTCACATGTCCATTGCTCTGAACTAACACCATCTTTTTTTCTTTTAATTTTTATCGTTGAAAGTATTACATATGTTCCCCTTTTCCCCCACTGACTTCTCCTACCCTGACCAATGCCCCCACTCCCCCAGGTCTTCACCACCCTATTGTCTGTGTCCATGAGTTATACATATACACATGAGTTCATTGGTTGATCTCTCCCCCCACTCCCCTGCCTTCTCTCTGAGGTTTGACAGTCTGTTTCATGTTTCTATATGTTCATCAGTTTATGTTATTCAATACCATCTTGTTGTGGCCTTGGTGACACTGTCATTGAAGACTTCGAAGGCTTTGTACTTTGCACAATTGCAGGCATTCGTTTATCTCAGGTGCCAGAGAGGGTGAAGCCAAGGCTGGATTCCGCAGAGCTGGAACTCCCATGCCTGCTGGCTATGGGATGATTTTATCTATCTGCTTGCCATAGGGCAATCTGTAGAAAAAACAGAGGAATGGATTAAAGCACCCTTTTAAACAGGCCTAGTTCACCTGTCATTTTCCCAAAAGTCCTTTTAAAATCTGAAAAGGCTAATTCATCATCATTAATCAAATACTCAGTTAAAGTTTAGTATAGTACGAGTAGAGTGAGATCAGCTGAGTTTGGGCCGGATTTGAAACAGGTACTAGTATGTCTGCATGATTCTGATGGTCATTGTAGCTGCCTGATTTACTGAGCGCCACCCCCTCAGCAACAGAAATGGACTGCTTCCTTTCCCCCACATTTTTGTTAGGCCACCTGAGCAAATGCAAAAGGGATGTTAAAGACTTTGGTCCTCCTTACATTTCAAGATTTTTAAGGGGTTTCCACTCCCCTTGTGAAGTGCCCCCTCAAGACAACATATTTTCTCACTTTCTCAGCATCCCCTCACTCATGTCTCTACTGCTGCAGCCACCTCTGTTCCAGCTTCTCCAAACACTGAGGAAAATGTCTTGAGGCCAAATCACTAGGTCTTAAGCCTGGAAGAGTATCCAGTCGCCACTGCTTCCCAAGAGAATCATAGATACTAAAGGCCTTAAGGGTGCAAAGACCTTATTTATTTGGTTGGTCGGTTGGTGTTGCGAGGGGGAGAGAGGTGGAAAGGAGCCAGAGAGGGCAGTTGTCCTGGTGATTAGCTATCTTGAGCATCCCTCCAGTTGGAAACCGACTACTCTGGACTTTACTTCCAAGATTAGGAGAGTCCCGGGAGCACAGTGAGGCAGCATGCCTGTAGCTGGTTGCCACTGCTGTGACTATTTTTACAGTAGAGAGAAAGCCGAGGAACTGCCCAACTTGATACTTTATGTGATTGGAATAAAGGTGATTGAGGGCGTTAAACTTGCCTGATGGTCTATGTAGCTTACTTTTAAAAAGGAATTAATTAAGGTGAGAAAACTGAAAAAGTAATGAGGTGATATTGTGAAGATAAAAAAGGAAGAGCTGAATTTAGTTAAGGGTGGGGCTGTTGTATTGCCCATGGCTGTAAAGAAATCCCCTGTGTCTACCGTGATTGAACATTTCCACTTGGACTGCTTGCTGCCTTCTGATTGGGATGGGGACTCCAGGACTTTAGCAGTCACATATGTTGTCACATGTCTTTTCTTCTGCCCAAAAGTCATTGTTTCTGTCTTCCTCCTCTGATCAGGTGTTGGACTGGATTGAAAACCATGGTGAGGCCTTTCTCAGCAAACACACAGGGGTTGGGAAGTCTCTGCATCGAGCCCGAGCCCTGCAGAAGCGGCATGATGACTTTGAAGAGGTGGCTCAGGTAAGATGCTGAGTATAGTTGTAGGTGTGTGTGTGCATGTGTGTGTGTGGAGCTGGGTGAGAGAGACCAGGGCTGTGACTTTGGTGTCTGGGGAGGCACGTTGGTTGATAGCCCATGGCTTCTGGGTTGCCATTCTGCCTAATGCAAGGAGACCTTTGTCTGCTCTTGGGTCCCTACATGAGTGGTAAATAGGCCCTCAGTTTACAGTCATCAAAGAAAATCATTCTGCTGGCATGATCTGTAAATGCCTCGTCTACAAAGTGGTGATGGCAGGAGGGAATGGCGTTAGGACCATCAACAGCCCAAAGCCACCCCTATGGTTGTCACTGCAGTCAAGTGGAGCTAGAAATCAGTGGCTGCTCTGTTTCTAAAGCTGTGTAACTTCCAGGACCTGGAGGTAGAGATGGCACCTGGTGACCATGCCATGCACCAACAAGGCTGAATGTGCCCACAGAAAGTGCCTTTGTATCACTGGCACAGTGTTTAGCCTGTAATTTGCACAATATTCAACCTTTTAGCTGAGCTGCATACCTATTCCAAAAAAAAGGGCACTGTTTTCTAATTTGCAGAGTGGCTGTATGAGAGACCTTAACCATTTGTCTCAATGGTGGAGTGATATAAGAGGGTTTTTGTTCTGAGGCTCCACCCCCAAGATTTTATTTTAACTCCCTTATATTTCTTTTTTGGGAAAATTCCAAATGGATCCTCACAATCTCCATCTTCCAGATGAAATGCGTGGTCAAGTGTGATCAGTTGCAGGGGGAATAAGACTTTTCAGAATCAGGGCGGGAAGGGGCAGCTGGGAAGGGATCATGTCAGCAGTGACCTGAACCTGGTGCATGAAGGTAGATTAGACCCAACCTGCGGAATAAAGCTTCACAGTTGTGCACTGCTGGTGGGAATGTAAAATGGTGCAGCCACTGTGAAAACTAAACTAAATTAAACATAGCATTACCATATGATTCAACTATCCCACTTCTGGGTATATACCCAAAAGAATTAAAAGGTGGAAAGTGAAAAGCATTTGTACACCCATTTTCATAGTAGTGTTATTCACAGTAGCCAAAAGTGTGCTAGTGTCCATTGATGGATGTATATACCAAGTGTGGTATATACATACAATGGCATATTATTCAGCCTTAAAGAAGGATCCTACAACATGGATGAACTTGAGTACAATATGCTATGTGGAATAAGTCAGTCACAAAAGGACAAATATTGTATGGTCCAGTTATGTGAAGTCATCAAATTTATTGAATAGTCAAATTCATTGAGACAGCAGGTAGGATGGTGGTTGCCTTCTGGATGCCTCTCTACTCTGTTAGGGGGCAAAGAATGGGAGAGAGCTGGGCAGAAAAGGAATGGGGAGTTATTATTTAATAGGCACAGACTTTCAGTTTTGCAAAATAAAGAGTTCTGGGGCTGGATGGTGGTGATGGTGGCACAACAATGTGAATCTACTTAATACCTCTAAACTTGACAAGCCTTGCATTATGTATATTTTATCACCTCCACCACCACCACCACAACAACAAAAAGAAGCCTCATAGCTACACAAGGACCTTCTGCAGAACTAGCTGGACTATGCCAGCATAGTGTAGACACTTGGCCAGTGTGCCTTTGTGGGCAAGATGTAGCACAGATCCAAAATATCTGGGTGCCCAGGCATTCTGGGTGCCTCTCCAGCCTGTTAGGGGCAAAAGATGGGAGAGGGCCATTTGGACCCCCTGTCTGCTGAGAATGGGGGGTGGAACCTGGGCTAATCTGTTGGAATGGAGCCATCCCAGAGCTTTGAGGCTCTTGGCTTTTGGCTGTCTTGTGCCTCAGCCTCTCTTCACTTAGGGAGGACGTCCCCAGAGCCACCCCAGCCCTGACCCAGCCCATCCCTTCCTGCTGCAGCCTCACAGGCAATGACAGCCTTGGTTTCAGGCTCATGAAGGAGCTGTCATTTATGTGTTTTTACAACCAGGCAGGCCTGGCAGCCACTCCAGCATTAATCCCATTCCTCCCATTTGCTCCTTTGCATTCTCACTGGTGCCTGATATGCCTTTCACATGGGACAATGTCTTCACGTAGTACCAGACACACATTAACTAACATTCATACTAGAGGAAGAATGGACACATTTTTTTAAGTTTTTGTTTTCCATTATGTATTTTACATCCCACCAGTCCTGACTGACAGATGGTGTTGGCCTTGTTTATGGAAGAGACACGAAGGCTCAGAAAGTTCTCAGTGTGCTCAGGTCATCTGGTTTGGTGGGGGTCCTGCTGGGATTCAAACCCAGGTCTGTTTGACTCCACAGTCGTGTTCTTACCTAACTCCATGCTGTCCCTCCTTTTTGAGGTATAGGAACTGGGCATAAACTCATTTCCGAGTACCCATTTGCTCATGAAAAATGCAGAGCAAAAAGCAAGAATGGGAGAAGGGGCTGCTGTGGCCATCCTGTTTGACATGTATTACAACTACTGATCTCTTGGTATAATCCACTTCTCCCTGCCTCTGGATTCTGATAGACAGTGAGAAAGAAGGAAGAGTTCTACCTTCCCCAAGGCTCTGCTTTTAGGAGGAATGTTTGCTCTGGGAAGAGGAATAGCAGCTGTGGAATACCTAAGCCAGGGGCCATGAGGTCGCCGCATTGTGCTGTATGTAGGGCTCTAGAGATGAGTGGGTCCTATAGTCTAGAACAGCAGTCTCCAACCGGTAGTCCGTGAAGTCCGAAAGGTTAGCGACCGCTGGTCTAGAAATGAATCATGTTTTGTTCCCACTCGGCGGGAGGGAGTGGGCAGTGGGGCTGCCTAGCATCCTGGAATTGTTAGTCCATGTGGGAAAACCAATTATGACCACGGCAAAGGCAGATGACCATTGGTAGCCACCTGCCTCAGCCCTGCCTTGTTCTGTGCATGTGATCATCACGCTCAGGGGGTGAGGAAGGGGGAGATCCAGGCAGAAAAGGGTGCTCTCTTTCTCTCTCACTTCTGTTCTCAGTCAGGTGAGCACCTCTGGAGGAGAGGAGTGGATCTAACCAGGAGTTGGATAATTCTTGAGTTAGTCAGAGATCAGTGACACTAAGTGACAGTGGAGGAGCTTGTTCCTTGTTGTTTGGGGTGCTGGTAGGAGATACAGGCAGGAAGGGTGTCACGTGGTGTGAAGTAGGAGACTGGGGCATCGCTCCTCAGTGGTCCTGTGGAGGGTCATGGTTTAGTGAAGGAACCGCTTTCTGCTTCTGATTCTATGATTATTTGACCTGAGGCTGACATGAGAAGGGAACACTGAGCTCCCATTCTCTGTTTTCAGGTTTAAAACATGGACTTGAATCAAAGCAGGAAGAGCTGTTAGCATGTGTTTTGGCTCCTGGAAATTGCCCTCTGCAGGGAGGACCAGCCCTCCGGCAGAGATGGCTATGCAGGGAGAGGGGGAGGTGTAGCAGAGAGCCACGGAACACATCCGTCTCCACTCTGAGAAAGATGGGGGGCACCCGTGATTCTCACCATTTACCTTTGGGGTAAAGACATTTAAGGAAGTTATTAAAATAAATATAAATGATAGCTGTGAAGAATGAATGTAGCAATCCATTATCTCTCATTAAACTTGAACTTAAATTTTGTGCTTATTAGCTCTTGAACACATTTGAAACAGACTCTTCACCTGTCATTTGAAGGAAACGAATTAAGTACTTATGAGTCCTCAGTTCATCCTGCAGAGGGCACTCTCTGAATAGCCTACAAGAAGCTGAGGGGCAGGAGGAGAGGACCAGTCATGATAACCTGACTGAGGAAGCTCCTGACTGGCAGGTGGTGAGGGTCCAGCCAGGGGGTGCACCCAGGGTCTTTCTCTACACGTCTTTCTTAGTCCAAGCTACTGAGTTTTCTGTGCTCGAATAGAAGATCCTGGCACCAGTGGGAACCCCTCCTGGTTCTGGTAGAGCCTTGACTCAAGTTGTCCATAAACTCATTAAGTGATGTGGGTCATAGAGTAAACAAGATTTTTAAAAGGTAACTTATTATATTTTTATATACATTTTTGGCATGTTAGGTATCATCAGGAGTATGAACAAGTATAAGATGAAGTTGCTGCCTACAGTAGCATAGCTGTCAGGGGAAAGATGTGCTCATATCTGCCCAGGAGGTAGAATGGGATACCACACTGTTACTTTCTCCCGAGATATTTGCTGTTACTTAGTGGGAAAGTACTCGAGTGCCTGTGGTTGAGAGAGCCGCTGTGCATTCTCTATTAGCGGTCTGATTTATCACCTCATTATCTGCAATGCCAGACTTTCTGTAAGCCAGCTTAGTCAAAAATTATCAAGCATTTACATTCAAATATATATTATCCAATGTCTCAAATCCTATTTAAGCAGCTAAGCATATTAAGTAGCATTAGTGTAACATTTTTGAAAAAGCAGGCCATTTAAAGAAAAGATGTTTAAGAAATATAAAAACATAGTCACGAGTAAGTACTTTATTCAATAATCTCTGGTTAGTTATTTCGCTATCTGATCCTAGCTTTTTTCTCAAACTTGACTAGGACAATTTTTTTTGAAAAAAATTTTAAAAAATTGTTCATTCTCACTCTTGGGGTCAAAATAGGCAAAAATGGAAGGGAAACATTTGGCAATCCAGTACATGCACCTGCCTCGGGGGTGGTGTGGTGACCTTTGGAATGAGTTACATCTTCCTTTTCATGCCCGAGACCAATTATAGTAGCTGCAAACACAAGCAGAAGGAAAAGAGCCTAAATAGATGCTTTTTCACACTCCAGCTTCTTAGAGAGGATAAAAGGCTCTTAAGCAGGATGAAAAAATATAGTGAGGAAGAAAGCCAGGAATATGCAGAGAAATTAATGTCAGAAAGTGGGCAAGGGGAAGAATGTGAAACAGCAAAAAAGTGAAGGGCAGTCTTTGCCTTTGGATCTTGTGCAGCCCTGTTCCCGCGGGTGGCTTCAGGACATCCCCTCTGCGGACACAGGCAGACATTGCTGCCTGCGCTGCTGCGAGGAAG